GGTGACTCTCCAGATTTTTTCAACTCCCCCAAATAAGAGAAGATGGACTAAAAAGGGCTTTTAGTACATATATATGTATATGGCTAAACATGCTTGCCAACATGCCTTAGCGAATCAGACTGAATGAAATTCCAATTAAACCTCACAGATAACTCTAAAAATTATGTTGATCATAAATATGTATTGTGCTCTGGTTTCTGAAGCCTCTGAGGCCTTCAATTTGCAGTGCAAAGTTAACCACCAAAATATACCTTAACGAATCAGACAAAATAAATTTTCAATTAACTTTCCCAAATAACTCTAAAAATTCCCATTAGCATATCCATGTATTCAATTTCGGTTTCTGAACTCATGAAGGTCGGCAATTTCAGTTTTAAAGTCATAACTCAATAGATAATTCCTCAATTCAAACAGATATCATTAATTTAAAGCACATTAACCCATAATTAAATAAAGATAATTTCTGATACGCATTTTGGGGTCGTTACATAACAAGTCATTAAGGTTCAATTTTTTGTGTTTATTACATGTGTTATGTACTATATGAGTTTCTATCTGTTCTAGGTAGGAATATCTATCTCTGATTTTGTTCTGTTCTGTAAATTGAAGGCCTTATCGGCATTCGAACATGAAATTGACTTGAATTATGTGTTTGTTAGAATTTTTAGAATATTATGGCAAGTTTAATTGAAATTCGATTCAGAACAAAATAATTAGATTAATTAACGCTCATTTGCTTAGTTTAAGCTAAGATTAATTAAGTCAATTTAATGGGCCTATATAAGGCCACTCTTTACACCATTTATACACTTTGCACTCTCAACCCCTCATCTTTGAAGACTAAATGTGTGAGAGTGAGAAGGAAGGAAAATTGAGCTTAATTAAAGAGTAATTGCTAGAGACTTGGAGAAATTGGAAGGAACTTCGAAGATTACACTTATATACATGAGAATTCAAGCTTGAGGTAGGAATTTAACCCTTGGATTGTATAATTTTGATGCTTCAACCATAGATTCAAAGAATTGAGCTAAAAGGAAGAATATAGATCATATCATTACATGCATGTGCATATCATGAAGTTTTGAAGTTGTTTAAGCAAGAACCTTCGCATGCATGACCTTACCTTGGCAAAGATTTCATCATTCAACTTGGTTTTTTACTAAACATTTCAATTAATCATGGTATGGGTGGTTGAAGAGCATATCTTTGCATACATGTCATATTTTGGAAACTTTTAAGTTGGTTTGAGCAATTCACATGCTTTTGGGCCTTGGTTTCGAGGAATGATCTTTAATTCACCATGATCTTTAATTCACCATGTTTATCTGCTTAATTTGTTCCGCAAGTGGAGCCATCTGTGAGTAATAACTCTGTAAAGTTATGTTTAATTTTAATTATTTTCTGATGCTATGAAATGATCAGTTTTCTAAAATGCTATGTTTTGTACGAATGAATGATTATCTAAATTTCTGAAATGTCTTCGTGGCATTCTTAGCACAAGGCCCTGGCCCGGGGGTAATAAAACCATGGTTTACAAGTACAAGGCCTTTGCCCGGGGGTAACAATACCGTGGTCTTATGGCCTTTGCCCGGGGGTAATAATACCGTGGTGTCAGGGCCCTTTCTAGGGGGTAATAATACCGTGGTTCAAGTATGTTACAAGTTTCCCGGTACCGAAGGTTCCGTAATGGAACTGACAAGCTTGATAACACTAATGGATGTCCATGTATGATTAAGCATGAACTTTGATTTCTGTATATGATTTGAATAAGAATATGAATATGAACCTGTTTCAGATTGAAATCTGAATATGCATAAGACTTTGTTTCTTATAAGAATCTGTTTTTGATATAAACTATAATTTCTGACTCTGTGATGGACATCATTCATTAAAACCCTTTGCTCTGTTATTATTCACTAGGCTCTAGCTCACTGTAATTATTTATGTATGTAGGTGACCAGGAGAGTGATCAGGCTCGGAATTGAAGGCCGAAGTTCTGTTTTGTCAAGCCATCCACCGTGCCTTCCGGGGAGGTTCCCGCGTATAGAAGTCAATTTTTGTGGACCATGTCAAGGGTTATTTTGTGTATCATGTTAAGAACATTTATCTTTTGTCTTGTTGTTTATCTGTATTCTGGGGCTAAACTCTTTTTTATGAAGTTTGCATGGTGTTGTAAGACTTATGTGGACATGACATCTTATGTATATATATTATAAGGTTTCAAATTTCTATCCTATTTATGTCTGCACAGCTCTATGGACTATGTTATTTTGTATATTTGCTTCCGCAACCCCTAATTGTATGTCATTCTGTTAAGAGGCCTTTGATAATCCAAGGATTACTGGCCGATTTTGACGCCAAATCTATAGGGGCGGGTTTAGGTCGTGACATTTTACTAGTAAATGCAAAAAATCATCTACCACTTTTTCAAATACTGTTAGGTATTTGACATCTGAACTCCACACATAGAAATAGAACAAACACAGGTGCTGCATACTACATACTCATCAAGTGTGCAACTCATCCGATTGCCTAGTTTAATTGAAGCACTTAAGGAATTAGATTTAAACAATGCAACTGGAGGCCTTTAAACAATGAATGTTTTATATTAGAATAGCTCATAAAATAATCATTATTCATAACGGAGGGAGGAGTGAGCTAGGGTTGAAATGTCCTCATATTAGAATGACTGATGGAAATATATTTTGGTTTTGTAGCATTTTTCTCCCTATTTCCTTATGACCTACTGCTGGCTTGGGCCTTATTTTATAAACATCATATTAAGGCTCTATTTTTAAGACTAAAAAAGCCACTTTTTGGCTATTTAAGCCAAAAAGAAAGTTTGTCTTTCGGCTTAAAAAGCTAACAATTGAAAAGAAAGAAGCAACTAAGAAACATTTTAGCATTTATCGAACACATCAGCTTTTTTAGCAACAACTTTATCCTAAAGAAGTAAAAAAGCAATTGCCAACCCGCCCCATAACTGAGTTTTTTTTTTTTTTATGAACATAAAGGATATCTGATGAAGCCTGCTAGAGGAATATAGAATTGGTGAATCAGACATTGGATGACTGATGTAGAGTTGATCATACCTACTTTCAGGCGCATTATAACATTGCAGCCAGCTTTCCATTTTTATTTTTGGAATTTTTGGTTGGTGCATGCTCCACTATCATCTTTTAGCCCATTGCTGGAGGTTAGGGTTTGGATCATCACATCCAAATTCATGCATTGATCTCTCTTCCACATTATGAGAAGGTCAAGTACTTTGTTAAGGAAAAATGGAGGTAAGGATTGTTTTGGGAATTGGCTTTTTGGTTTTTATGAAAACATGTATAAAATAGTAGAGAGAACGCTCGACTTTTTGTAGTGTCTTTTTGGTTAAAATTGTGACTTCCCAACATAGGCAAATTATAGATACGTTGTAAAAAATATAGAATTCTCACTCATATTTTAGAAATTACAAATATTTTTTCATCAAATTTTTTTTGCAACTAATCTAAGGGAAAAAAAAAAAACCTATTTTGATAAAAATAAATACCAAAAAGAAGTTGGAACAATTTATGAAAGAGATGGCGTAGGGAAAAATTAAAATAACTAATTCACTTCATAAAAACAAATTGTTCTGAAATCCAAGACAACTAATATTAAAACATCAAGAATCAAAAAGTTGGAGTCAAATGTGAAGATAAGCCCTGTGCCATCTGCTAAAATCCATTGAAATTGAACAAACCATTATTTAGTTCATTAGAACTATGATTTTCATCTGCTGACGATTTTGCTTTTTTCAATGGTCTAAGTTCATCAGAAGCAAATGTACCATCTGCACAATCACCTTTCTCTGGCAGTTGTGGAGGGTTATCCACATTATTATTTGAGTTACCGACCACTTCACAACTGTTAACTTCAATAACAGGAGACCCATTTGAAGTAGTTTGATCACTTTCCTCCTTATTTGATAACTTTTCATGTTTTGAGTTCATCTTGAACTGCACTTGGAGTACTAAATCATTAATGAACTCAAATGGAATTGGTAGAGAGGGAACACTTCAGGATCCTTGGTTGCCAAAATGAAACGCCAACATAATCAAATTTAATTATTAAAGTACCAGAATATAAAAAGCACAAAAGCTACCAATGAACTGCAACAGAGATTGAGTCCTTTGTGTTCCTTCTATCTACTAAACAAATTTATTTGTTAGACCCGGCCTTCTATATCATAATGATTTTGGTTAATCACATAAGACTAATCAACATTTCTTGAAACGTTATGACAAAAACAATGGATTGATTCAATATGACACCTACAAGAACACCCTAGACCTTATAAAAAGTAGAAACAGGGGAGAAAGGGAGGAAAGGATGGGAAAAATCGAGAAGAAATGTATACCTTATGAATTCTGTTGTATGATTGTTGCAATAGCTAAATATATACCTTTTTATTGTGAATCTCTAGCAACAAATAGAAAAGCAACGAAAGGAAGTGAGAACAAACCTTATGAATTCTAGGTCTAATGTAACGACCCCAAAATCCGTATTAGAGATTACCTTTACGGCCTTATGGGTTAATGCATTTTGATTTATTGATATGTGTTCAAATTGAGGAATTATTTGTTGAGCCACGACCGTAAAATTGAAATTACCGACCTTTACGGGTTCAGAAATCACAATTGAGGACTTAGATGTGTTAATGAAAATTTTTAGAACTATTTGGGAAACCTAATTGGAAATCTAATTTGTTTGATTTGTTAATGTGCGTTTGGGTGGTTAACTTTGTACTGCAAATTGAAGGCCTTAGAGGCTTCAGAAACCAGAATAGGGGACATATTTATGATCATCATAATTTTTAGAGTCATCTGGAAAGTTTAATTGAAATTTAATTTTTCGCGATTCGTAAGGGCGTGTTTGGCCCTCCTTATTTGTGATAAAGCTTATATAATTAAATATATAGGTGTGTATGAGTTATATAAGTGGTGAACTCATACTTTTGGAGTCAAAAAAACAAATTATCTAAAGAGAGAGAGAGAGGAAACCGTGAAAGGGAGAGAGGGAAGAGAGACAATTTTCCCAACATCCACGGAGGCTTTGAAGATGATGGAAGAGAATTGAAGGAAAAGAAAGAAGATCACCCATGGGACTTGGAGGAATTGAAGAGAGCTAAGAGATAGACAAAGATTGAGTTAGGTATAAAAATCTATCTTGAAATCTTGTGTTTAAAGTATCAATTTGGTAAAATCATAGAGATCTTGGAAGATTTAAACCCATTTGGGGTTAAGGTTTATCTATGTATTTACTTGAGCTAATTTGAGGAATTAGAAATTGAGTTCTCTAATTTTGTTTATGAGTGGAGCTCAAGCTAATTGATATCATGAAATAAACTTTAGATTATGCAAGAATCATGTGAATTTGTGGGTTGTGGGTTGTGTTTTTAAGAACCTTGAAGATTATGAAAGATTAAGCATTAATCTTGAACTTTGAGACAAAGATTGAATTGTTTGAAAAGAAATTACACTTGGTTGATGTTAGTTTATCATGTTATAGGGCAATTCTACATATTTTTGAGTGATTTATGTTAAGAACCAAGCTTAAAAATGGAAAAACCAAGTGTTGGAGCAAAAAGAGTCATTTTCGGACTGCACACTGTCCAGAGCCGCACGTGCGGCTCCGTTTCCCGCACGTGCGGGAGACAGCTTTGTCCAGCCATCTTTGAATAAGCATATCTTTTGCCTCGGGACTCCGTTCTGAGTGATTCTTGAGCCTAAAATCAAGCCCCGGAAGTCTAGTTTCCAATGGAAGTGGTCTCACTCCGAAATTCTAAATACAGAAATAGTTATGCCCAAATTAGTGACGACTGTTCACTTTCTGTCAACTAATTTTATATCATTTCTTCACCTAAACCATTTCCCATTGATTTCTCCTGTTTTCTGAGACATGGAGTATAACATATTAAGGAATAATGAGCTTGGTACCACCATGGCTAATTGATTGATTGATCAAAGAGAATAAGTAAATGATCGAGTATAATCTCATATTATGTGTTGTGCGCTGTACTTGTAGGTCGAGACGAGGACATCGTCCTATTACTACCGGGAGCTGATCACTGTGAGTAGTAGTACGGTAGTCGTACGTTCAATTATCGTTAATTATTTTTATCGTTAATATGCTATTCCTTGCAAGTACTTAAGTTAACAATGTGTCGATTGGAAAATCTAGAGGCATTATTGAGCGGTATTACTGTTGACAAAGAAGACTAACATTCTGTTATTTGCAAGATAGCTATAGTGATTCATGATGAACAAAGGGAACGTATAAGCACTATGGAACCATGGTATTCACGTATCTCTGAAATCATTCAATCTGTAAATGTGCTTAGCTCTCATTAATAATTATCAGGAATGTCCTGTTAAACTTAAGTTAACTATGTTAACTCATGCGAATGATGTAACGGCTACCATTAGTACTCTGTTAAGTACAAGTCAACTATGGTAACATCTATGAACGATCAAACAAAGGTGTATGCTTCTATATGCTATTAATAGATCAAGTGAACTACGCCATTTCTTAATGAATAATTAGTTAAGACCGCGGATTGTTTTATACGTTAATACCTGCTAAGCATTATGATAAACAATGGATTGATTTACGGCTGACTCAACCTGAAGACAGAATTAAATATCAATGACCTTGTCATGTGACTCACGTTATGATGTAAACTGTTCTGTCTTTGTTAAGTGTATTGTAATGACATGATATAACAAGAAATGCTCTATGTTCTGATATGTTACGTTTTGATTTAATGAACAGTTGTCCATATATGTAAAGTATTCATGACATCCGTTGCACACGGCCCTTACCCGGGGGTAATAATACCATGGTTCAAGGATGTTATAAGTTTACGTATCTTACAAGTTCAAGTATGTACAAGTTTAAGTATGTTACAAGTTCACGTATGTTATAAGTTCTCAGTATCGGGGGATTCCTTTATGGAACTAACAAGAATGCTTTATATTGATTTGTTAGCGCTAGCGAAGTGCCACGTATAATCAAGTATGAATTCTGATTTCTGTTTATGATTCAAGTCTAATGCATATGTATGAATTTGTTTCCGTTTATGGTATGACATGTTATATGTGGTTTGGTCTGTAAGACCCATTAATTACTGGTATGGAACAAAGTGCTACTTGGAACTAAGTGCTACATTGCGAGCCACCTCTAGAGTCCATGTGAGACACCTCTTGAATCCATACATATATGAACTAGGCTTAAACCCAATCTGGGCCTATGGCCATTCTATATGATCTATTAGGCCAGAGGCCATTCTGTATTTTTTGGTATGGAGCAACGTGCTGTACGGAACTAAGTGCTGCAGTGCGAGTTACCTCTAGAATCCATACGAGCCACCTCTTGAGTCCATACATATGTGAAAGTTATGAGGCTGAAAGCTGTTCTGTGAAAGTTATGAGGCCTATGGCCATTTTGTATGATCTGTAAGATCTGTTAGTATGAAACAAAGTGTTGTACGGAACTAAGTGCTGCAATGCGAGTCACCTCTAGAATCCGTGCGAGCCACCTCTTGAGTTCATACACTCAAGTTCAAGGGCTTAATGCCAACATGTTCAAGGGCTCAATGCCAACACGTTTAAGGGCTTAATGCCAATATGTTCAAGGGCCTATTGCCACTCTGTTCAAGGGCTTAAAGCCATTATGTTTCAAGATATTATGTTATCAGTCATTATGTTTCAAGACTGGGCCTAAGGCCGTTATGAAATTAGTGCAGAATCAATTAACCTTATGCCCTCTTTATTTATGTATGCATTGATATGTATTATACTTCAAGTTGAGCATTGAATCATTTATGTACTATTATTCACTGAGCTTCGCTCACTTTGTGTTATGTCTGTTCTGTAGGTAATTACTTTGGGAGTCCGTCTTAACCCTTGATGCTCACCCTCCAATTGTCAACCTCAGTATGCCCAGACTCCCAGACCAAGCCCATGCATTTATGTGAAGTTTTGTTAAGATTTTGGCTTGCACTTTAATTATTTACTTAAGGTTAAAATGTATGTATATATCCCCTTTCTTTACCAATGTTCGGATATAACGCTCATTTATATGTATGGGTATGTATATAGATAAATGGCTCTCACGTATGTGATCCTGGCATGTTAGTTTTACCTCAATGGATGTTATTCTATGTTACTTTGTAATATTAAATGCTTCCGTTCAGGCCCTATATATTATGTATATCAGGTTATGTGTCCGTATCTGCATAGGTCATGCCTGAACTTTTAGGGGCGAGTTTGGGGCGTGACATCTAATGTTTTGTTTTATCTGTCTTTTATTTATTGGAGACAAAAAAGAACAATGGGGTTCCTGTTAGTCGGTCACAGGTGTGGATGGTCGCATACATGAATACATTGTTAATGCTACCTAATTTGATTCCACTCAGGTGATACTGTTTATTTGATTCTAAAGCTACTCGTTTAATCATTTAAACAATTAGGGAGTACGTGATGAACCTCCCTTAATAAATGGATGCATTTTCATAAAAGAATTATAGGACAAAACTAATAATGTGTTAGTTATATTTCTCAATGAATATCTATAATGCTCGTGGAAGTTGTGAATAATAGGTTAAACATTAGTGACTATTTGTTTAAAAGAGATGGTATAAGGAAATGATTATACAATGCACAAATTCTTTTGTATTTAAATGATGAGATTTCTATTGCAAACTTGATATCATGATTCTTCCTAGTAAGCCGAATGTATAAATTTCCACTAATGTTGGCTCATAGTTTTGTGAGTCATAGTTGTCTATTTCTTTGACATTTGATCCAATAGCCTTCCGTTGGATAGGAAGAGAATTAATAAATACTGATAATTCTCATTTCTCTCTTTTTCTTCCTTCCGTTAAAGGTCAAAGGCCATCAAATTTTGTGGATTTTTATTCTTATGCATTTCGATACTGCTTAACAAGTATGGTGATCCATGGCAGCTTGTAGTTAATCTCAGAGAGCCTTATATATTCCTTTTATGCTACTTATTCGGATTTTTTTCCCCCTTGTATGGTTTTCAGAGGAAAAACAGAAGAGTATTGACATTGAGAGCATCTGCCAATTACTTGATCTTGTTCTAGGGTCCTAATTCCATGCCCAAGTCAACTACTTTGTTGAGTATCTGAGGGTGAGTAGTTGTAGTTTTCTCATGATCACCATAATGCAGAAGGTTTTTATGTATCTGTTTCCTCGATTGTCCAATGCATATACCCTCATTTCTTTTTGAGTATTGGTGAGAGTTTCCTTAATTTTGGACTTGTGATTCTAGGATTAGCCATATTAGTGAATATCATATGGGGCTAGCTCCTCTTTGCCACTCTTTTTAGTTAAAATCAGAAATTTAGCCCTCAATTGTTTCATTTAGCTGTCTCATAGACAATAATGCAGCATAGTTTGGGTGGTGATGTAAAGGACCTTATAGGCATGTAGAAGATAGAAGCCAATCCCATTTATTTATCTCATTTGAGTGTTTTTGCTCTGAATGTAGACAGAAATTGATTACAAGGTCATAAACATGGACCAATGGATGGGTTTTTATCAGTTTCGCAATGAGGTAATCCAACGGTTAGTTGCTAATCGTTATTTTAGAATTTATCCACATAAAATTAAGGGAGCAATAAACAAGTTAAAAAAAAAATGGAGTCTTTAACTTAGAACTAGAGGGGAAGCGGTGAACGATGACATCTAGTATTTAAGAATTTTTTGTTGCATGTATTCAGGATTGTTAACCGAGCATATATTTTCTATAAACTTCCGTCATTTCTTTTCTTTTCTTTTTTAAACATTTTATTTGAAGGTTTGAAACTAATATCCTGAGGCAATATTGTGCAAAGCATTAAGTGTTCCTTCATTGCATGGTTTGCTGTATACGTGTAACTTTAATCTGGATTTTTCAGATACTTTAACATTGCTTTTTTTAATTTGAAGTTATAGTGCATAATTTAATGAATTGAGAGCAATCTTTTGTAATTTTTTTTTTCTTTCTAAGATTAACTTTTATCCTTATAATTTAGTCCCACAACAATTGACAAAAATTGGGTTATTCAGATTACTTGTTAATGCTTGACACCATTTTTTTTATCTTGAGCAAGGAGAAAATAAACTCCTTGGAGTTGATGGCAAGTATGACAGCATGTCAAGTTTTCAACGGACACAATGAGGTTATGTTGAACCTGTGGAATTTAATTTCGTGACCATGAATAATTTGAATTCTTTTCTAGGAGACTCCAAATATTTGACTAATTGATTTGTGATTTGTAGTTATGCTTTTTGGATGTTTAAAGTCGTATTTTAGAGATTAGTGAATCTTATGATTTAGATACTTTTCTTGGTTTGTATGTTTGAAGTTGTCATCAACTTGATATGATAGAAGTTGAGGATGGAAGTTAGTACGCAGGTTGTTGGTGTATAGATATTAGATTTTTTTGCTTACTTCATAGTAGCTGCTTCTGCTTGATTTGTTCACAGGTTGCATTTTATAAGTTACTGTCTACATACTATTAGGCAAGATTATATTCTTGTATATATATTATATATTAAAAATAACTTTCTACGGCATATAAAATTATGTCATGAAAAGTGTAATGATTTATGAGATACAAGAAAATGCCGTAAAAGATTATATACGACATACAAAAGTATGTCATAAATCTATTAAAAATGATATTCTACGACATACAAAATTATGTCATGAAAATTGTGATGATTTATGACATGCAAGAAAATGTCGTAAAATATTATATACGGCATACAAAGTATGTAATAAATATGTTAAAAATAACCTTCTACGGTATGCAAAATTATACCATGGAAAGTATGATGATTTATGGCATGACAAAAATGTCGTAAAAAATTATATACGACATACAAAGTATATCATCTATGTTTAATTTATTACTTTTTACAACTTTACCTGCATGCCGTAAATGACGCTCAACTTTTCACGGCATGTCATATAACGGCATTTGTGTGCATGCAGTGACAAAGTTTTTATGACACGCATTGCAAGTCAAAAAAATTCAATTTTGTTGTAGTGAGATGAGAAATATTCACTTTTTTCTCTCTATAAGTAATAAAACTATACGATTTACGTGGGAGGTGTTGGGTAGGCTTTTTGGTGTAGGGAGGATAGCAGTTGTGAGATTACAAAAATACATTTCGATGCGTCTCGCCAGAGAATGGGAGGCCAGTTGGAGAATATGGGTGGTGTTTGGAAATGAGAAAAATGAAGAAGAAGATGAAGAAAGACATGGAGAGCGATGGATCTGAGGGAAGTGGGTTTATGGAAATATTTGAACATATAGTAGGTTTGAGGGGAGAGAGAGAGAGAGAGAGAGAGAGAGAGATATTTTAACAAATAATGGGTTTAAGTGATAAGAATAAAAAATTGAGCAGATAAAAAAAAAAGGTGTTAATTTGGATAGATAAGAAAAAATTAAGACATATTTCAACAAATAAAAATTACATCAGATAGAATAAAAACTTTAACAAATAGAATAAAATTAAAATTTCAACAGATATAATAAAAAATTTCAATAGATAATTGTTAATAAAAATTAAAAGGGTAAATTTGAAACAAAATCTCCTAAAAAATAACAAAATAGACTACTCACCATCTCTCCAAAAGAAAATACCCAACGGATTTAATGCCTTGCACTCTCTTTAAATTGGGTTTTTTACTATTTTTCTCATATTTTAAAGAGTGGTGTTATTCTAACATAAAAATTAAATTTATTTTTCAAACCAAATAATGTGACATTGTACTAAAATTTCTAAGTTAATTTTTTTTTTTAATCATTAGTCATTTATCTCATTTACACATTACTAGATCAAAACAGTGAGTCTGTAAAATAAATTTCTATATCATTTTAAAAAAATTAAAGAATAATTACTGTGATTAAAAACATGGAAGAATTATTGTTCAATGGAACGGACAAGAATAATTTACACAAACATAAAGAAGTACAACTCAAAATTACCCTCTCACAATATTTGAGTTGCACTCCACCACACCTTCTGATATTTTATTAATCTTTTTGAATAAGTTACAAATACACTCATGAGATTTGTTTAAAATATAATTTATCCTTTGTGATTTGAAAAATTACAAATACTTCTCTATCAGAATTTTTTATTTAACAGAATTAATTAAAAAAGTAAAATTTCTAACTATTTATCTATACAATAATAAAATTATCTGAATTATTAATTAAAATAAAATTTTAACATTCTTAAAAATTATTAATTAATTTGATAATTTATTAATAAAAGAACATATTTGTTATGAAATTAGAAATCTTAAGAGCATAATGTAATTTTTAAAATTACAAAAAATAACTTATAATTTAAATAAACCTCAAGAAATGTGTTTGTAATTTACGGTTTTTTTTTTTTTTTTTAATCTTGCACCCTAAATTGTAATTCCCCTAAAAACATTGCATGATGATCTGACCTAGTCAATGAAGCAATAGTTCTCTCTCTCTCTCTGACTTAGTCAACTGAAGCAATAGTTCTCTCTCCGTGTTGATTTTTCCATGTCCATCCACCAATAATGATAGAGATCTTTATAAAATATAATTGGTAAAAATTTTAAAATAATTTGAACCATTCATGTCACTGTTAAATATAATTTTTAAAAAAAATTTAAACATAACAATAATTAATATATCAATGAAAATTATGAAAATCCTTCTTTGCGGGGTCCAAACATTTTCTGTCCACCCAACAACATTAAACAACCAGAGAAACTCTCAACTTTCTAGGTGGCATCCACCCATTGGAGAACCCCTCAACTACTTCCAAAGTCATTGGTCTTGCCGTGCCAAGTTGCCTTGCCTCTATTATCTATATGTATATTCAACACACCCACAAGGTCTAGATAAAACTCTCAGCTTCCTTCTTTACAAACACAAAAGACACAGGGACTGAGAGAGTAGTAGGGGTGACCATATTCAGAGAACACAAAAAACACTAACACTAGATAGAGAGAGAGAGAGAGATGGCCACCGCAAAGTTGAGTTTTACAAAACTTGTAGTGTTGGCTTTAGCAGCAGCAGTACTGGTAGAGTTCTCGGCTGCTGCAGCATACATCGTCGGAGACACCATGGGTTGGGTCAACCCTTCCAGCGACGCCACCGTTTATTCCAAATGGGCTTCCCAACATACCTTTGCCACCGGTGACATTTTAGGTAAACTTGGCTTTTATTCTCTCAATTATATAATTTCTTGGGCGTTTTGTCAAATAAATTTTGTGTTTCTAGAAAAACAGGATTAATGTTTTAGGAAATAGGTTTGAATCCAATTACAAATAAGATAAAACACACCTATAATCAATTTGAATCAATTAATTTTGAATTTTTTCTTCCTTTTTTTTTTTAATTTAAATTAAATTGGTTCAATTACAATTGAGCATCTAAGTTGCTAACCGAAAAACTATAAAATTCACCATGTGTTGTTGTACTTTGGTTTCTAAAATTTCAATTTTACAAATTTCATCTCTCAACACTATAACACTATAAGATTATGTTTCATTTCCCTCATCAGTGTTTAGCAATCAAATTAACAAAATTGAAAACTTGAAGAATCTTTTGAATCATATATTTGACTAAGATTTTTGAAAGGAAAGGAAAAATAAATAAAATTAAGGCTAATTTTTTTCACTTATCACTTTCGCTTTTCCTTTTCTGTTCACTGCACAAATATTCACTCAAATTTTTAATGCAAACACAGCCAAATGACCAAACTAACATAACGACAAAATTAAAAACAAAGGATCACACTGACATGAAACTGTGAATTTGATCGTTCTATTAATGTTTTAGACACTCCAATTTAACTCAAATTAAAAAAATTAATGTTTGATCCTCAATATTTATTGAACTTTTGATCAAGTTTTTTTTTTTTTTTATTTTTTTTTATTTTTTGGGCAGTGTTCAACTATGCAACTCAACAACATAATGTGGCTACAGTTACAAAGAATGCTTATGATGCATGCAATTCGACCTCTCCTGACCAAACTAACATAACGACAAAATTAAAAACAAAGGATCACACTGACATGAAACTGTGAATTTGATCGTTCTATTAATGTTTTAGACACTCCAATTTAACTCAAATTAAAAAAATTAATGTTTGATCCTCAATATTTATTGAACTTTTGATCAGGTTTTTTTTTTTTTTAAATTTTTTGGGCAGTGTTCAACTATGCAACTCAACAACATAATGTGGCTACAGTTACAAAGAATGCATATGATGCATGCAATTCGACCTCTCCCATCTCTATTGCAACCAATGGTCCAACAAACATCACTCTCAACACCACTGGCGAACACTACTTCTTCTGCACCATCGGTACCCACTGTGCCCAGGGACAGAAGCTAGCCATCAATGTCACTTCTTCCACCACCGCCCCACCTTCTCCTTCGTCAGTCTCTCCCCCCCCACCACCACCGTCCTCTGCCCCACCAAAGGCGGTTGCTGCTTTCGCTGTGGTCTTGATGTCCATTGCCATTGGTGTGATGTGTTAATGATTTTTTTGGTTGACACACGAAGAATTTATATGGCACGGCCATTCTTTTTAGTGTACTATTAATTATTGTATTGGTTGAATGATTTGTGTTATTATTCAGATTGAATAAAGATGGTTGTTTGATTTTCAGATGAAAATTTGATGGATTTATATCATCTATGTTTAGAGTAGTGTAATTTCATTATTTTCTGTAACCCATATTGTCTTTCTCAAATAAAAAGTTATAATTTAGGTGTATCCAAGCAAAAACACTAAAATGATCATTCATTGATATACTTTTCTTTATTTTTCAGTAAATTAAAAATAAATTATTATAATGAAAAAATCGTTCCATTCTATCTTATTTGAGTGAATCAAATACAAACATTTTTATCTCAAATGTCCTTTTATGTAAATGACACGAAAAGCGGATTGGAAAGGCCTAGTCGGCCCTATTTTTGGGTGCATCTCCGTCTATCTCAATGATTAGAACCTTTTATTTTGTTGAATTTGTCAAATATATTATTCATAGTGAAAATCTTGTTAATTTGCATCGGTAGTTACTTGATCGTATCACCTTTTTTTTTAATTCACCTAAATATTAGTACATACTATTTTCCTCCTTAGGCCAAGTTTGGGTACTTCCAAAAAAGTTAAAAAGTCAAAAAATTACTCAAAAAGTTAAAAAGTTAACACTATTCATCAAAAGTTAACAATTACGGCTGCACAACTCCCAATTCAAATTTTTCTCTACAAATTAATTTTTACAATTTTTTATTACACATTTTTCAATAAAAAGTCAAAAAGTTAACCCAAATATCCATATTTTCAACCTCAATTTTTTAGTCCAAAAAGACAAAAAGTGCACTTATTTAGTCTTCCCAAACTTGGCCTTAGTAATATCTGATGAACATCAATTTTTTTATGAATAATATACTTAGGGTCCTGTTGAAGTGTGCACCCCCTAAAGGGTTGCACACCATATACACCTTCATTATTGGCCATTGGATTACACAAATACATCCTAACCATTGAATTCTTTAATTTTGAAAAATTGGACCACCGGAGAGCAATCGGTTGAGCATCTCTCTTCTTCTTCCACTGGGTATTCTCTCTCTCTACTTTCACTCTTTCGTTTCTCTCCCTCCCTCTCCCTCTGCTACTCCCTCCTTCAAGTGATCTTTCCCTGCTCCTCTCTCTCTTCTCTCTCTACTGCGCTCATTCGTCTGTCTTCCTCTAGTTCGACTGACTGCAGATTCTAAGTGGTTGTTCGGTTTAAAACTCTAATCGAACCCAGTGAGCCTCTGTTTGGTTTGTAAGAAAACGAAGGAATTTTTTTTTTGAAGAGCAATCAACAAGATATGCCTCCCTCTGATTATTTCTGAAACCCTAAACCCTCTTTTAAAACTCTCTTCTTCCACATTTTTTACTCTCTGTGTATATTTCTGAAATCCTCCCTCTTCTAAAACTATATTCTCTGATTTGTACCCTATTTTCTGTCTCTAGTGCTATCTAAATTTCTATTCCAGTCTCTCTTGGCTCACACTGATTCGAAATTTGCAGTGAAGCAAGGCTTGGTAATGATTTCGTTCTATTTTGCTGTTTATATATCTCTGTTGACATTCTTAATGAAATAATCCATTTTTATATTAATTAATATAGTATTTTGTAACCATATTGTTGGTTCCATGACTTGTTCTTGAGTTGTTGCAAAATATTTCATAAGAAATTTTGGCATTAAAATTATAGGTCTAATTTTGTTATCTGAATTTTGATTGCATTTAAGATGTTTGTAAAAATGCCTAGTTTGTTAGCAATTTAAACAAATGTATTTTGGAACTATATTTTCATTGCATTTAGATGTTGAAAACTTGTGACTGACTTTAACATGTTCTCTGAAGATTTATCCCAAAATATATTGAGTGATATTCACATGAAGCAACTATAACTTGTGGTTGGGACCTCCGAATTGTAAGTGTCTTTGGTAATGTTTAATACTTGTTGTTCTAGTTGAATTCAATAGCCATCTCAAGTAAATCATTTGTTTAATTGGTTTTTAAAAACATGCATATATATATAAGCGAACGTAGTTCACATAGAATAGAAATACTTCTAAAAATGCTAATCAAATAGCGCTTGAACTTCACTTGTATCCTTGTTTAAGCATGAGCAGTTGACAAGATAATGGGGAAAAGACTCCAACCAACAAAAAAGTGTGAAAAGCTAAAAAGAATTGAAGTATATTATTTTAATCTTAGCTAAAATGCAGTCAACATGCTTATGTTTAATAAAATGAATTTCCTTTGTTATACGATTTTAATTTAAATTTTTAATCCACATGAAGCTTATGTTTAATAAAATAAATTTTGTCCGCATACTTTTTTCGAAGTGTATTGATGCTAAGATAATCCATGAATTATTGTCTTCCCTCTAAGCATGGAGGCTTTCCTAGCAACCATGAAAGATTAGTGTCAAACTTTAGGTTTGAAGTAGTGGAAAGTGTGAAAAAGGGAAAATGTGGATTTTTTTTTTCCCTTGTTGTTTAGCATGATAAATGATAATGTTGGAAATGTAAGATTGTTAAATTTTGTGTACAACCCATAGCAACATGGTAGGTTGCTTTTTAATTTCTTGCAAAATATACATATATGTTTCTTGCAAAAAATAAAGAGTATCTTTTTCACTAGTTTGTCACTTTTGATTTTTGGGTCTTGTTACCATTTGCACCTTATATCTTAACCATTGAATCTCCACAAACTAATCTAAGCCATTGAATAATGTAATGGAAAAAACTTGAAACCTTCTCAACCAGTTGCTGTCTTGACTGAACAACTCCTCTCTCTCTCTCTCTCTCTCTCTCTCATGTTTTGATTGCATTTTTTTAATTTGAAAAATGATTTACAAACATAATTGTTATACAGAATGTCACAAAAGCAATGTCAAAACAATATGCTTGAGAAATCATATCGTTCAATTTTAGGTATGAATTTTATATTCACATAGCATTAATCATTTAATTTTCCAACAGTGCCCTTTTTAAAACCTTATCAATGAAAATAGCTCTGCAATTCGTAATGTTAATAGTGTTTTGTTTATTTCTTGGTCTAAAACCAAAAATGACCCAAAAATTCAAAGACAATTTTTTTTTTTTTTAATGAAAATACAAAGACATTTGGGTTCATATAATATGGTCATTCCCCATTTGAAGCTTGCTTTCTATTGTAGGAATTGGAAGAGGTTATGGTCTCTTTTTTTAGCCCTAGTTAAAACTTAAAATCTATTTTGCAAAACATGGGGACTTTAACGTAATTGCGGATCCAGTGGCAATGATTGTGGAATATATATTTAAAAAAGAATAAATTATCTGTTTATATTCAATCTATAGAAATTTTGCAGCTCAAAGTAATCTTGGATTGGATTTATATGCAGTTTTTCAATATATGATGAAAGTAAATGTATTACTTCAAGAGCTAAATGATTATATTTGTGTGTTATAGTGTATTTGGTTTAGATTATATTTGCTCAAACCAAACCAAGCCTTAAGTTCCATCAGATTATATTTACTCAATGATTTTTAATTCATTTTGTCATTTTTTTTCTCTTGTTTATTTATTTTCTTTTGTGTATCAAATGCTAGTTTACTTATGAATTGCACACTATGTACACACATACATACATATA